TATATATATATATATATATATATATATATATATATATATATATATATATATATATCTGGGTTTTGCATATGTCTGAATGCGGTGGAAAGGCCTTGTTCTTCCGGATGCAAGCTGAGTACTTGGAGGCCGCATGCGGTCGTGACGGTCATTGGCACAGCGCGTAAGATCTTTGGCTTTATTTCTACTGTCTCTAACTGTGGAGCAGCTTGCATGCTCCAGTAACGAGTGCATCTTGCTACAGAGAAAAAGCACACCAGCTCTTCATATGGCTGAGCAGGTCTTTGCTTGCAGGTTGCCGCGAGGAGTTGCAGTAGTATGATTAGCTTATAATTGTAAACAACAATATATTAAAAAGGCATTAATTAATAGAATTTGTATATATTTAATGGAGGAATCCTGACGCTCACTCTATACGGGAACTGAACTGAGTCTGACCCCTGACTATAGGCTCTCACCTGGTATCCGCTTCTGAATACAGCCAGAGTGTACGCTATTGGCTGCCTTGTTGCATCTACTACTTCTTGCTGAATCCAGTACAAGCGCTTTTGCTGCAAGTTTTTGTTGTTTATCACTACATTGAATACCATAGAGACAGCTTATTAAAGTGCTGCTCATTAAAAAAAAAAAAAAAAAAAAAAAAAAAAAAAAAAAAAAAAAAAAAAAAAAAAAAAAAAAAAAAAAAAAAAAAATATTATTTTCACCAGTGGGTGCGTTCAGCGAATTGATGTGTACAGTTCCAGAAGATATGGACCGCCGTTAGTTATGGTGGGAAATTATTTTTATCGTAATGCAGGATATGTTTAATTTAATGAATTGCAGCAATAAAAGTTGTAGAATATGTATAGTTTGATGTATTGAATACAAGGAGGGCCTTTGTATAGGATGGCCTATGGAGCGTATTGCTCACAGTATCCATTTGGGTAAAGGTTTATATAGATTGCAGTTGGTGTGGACAGCTTGGATACGAGTCTGTTTTATAAGAGAGCAATTGTACAGTTTATTGAGATCGCTGCAGGCATCGCTCTCTTTCCTGTAGCGTACCAGAGGATTCGAAGCTGTGCCCAGTGTGCAATACAGCGCACACTCTTTCAGCAACTAAGCTTGATATATGCACAGATTTATTCTAAACATTCACCTTTTTCAAGGGTTTATGGATGCTGTCGTCCACTGTACACCTGAACACTGACCCGAGTCGAAACATACCAAGTAGCGTTCTCAGGGTATATATATATATATATATATATATATATATATATATATATATATATATATATATATATATATATATATATACCTTTCAAGCAAGCTCCATTGCAGGCGAAAGAGTCATACAGAGGCACTGCTGTTCAGAATACAGGCTGCCTGTGAGCATTTGTGTTTTTAGTTTTGTTAGTTGCAATAGCTACTGGAACGCAGCCCCCCTTCACATGCAAAAGTAGCTAGCCGCGTTGAGCTGCACAATATATAACTGTCTCAACCTGACGGAGAAGAAAAAATACTGGAGAATATCTTCAGCAGGAATCAATACCGAGGCAAACAAGCTCGATACCGCTGCACGCTAATAGTAAAAGGGGGCTATAGTTTAATATATACAAACACAAAACACCTGCTATATCGGCCAGTGCAGGATCTGCATACGCACGCGAACTCTATCCATATAAGCTTAATGTAAATAGTACAAAGTTTCTTGAACTCTCCCACTCTAAGCCCTTTTTCAGTGTAGAGGAGAAACATCTACGTTGTACCTCACCCAGTAGCGCTGGTGGGGGAAAAGAAAACACAAGGTGGTCCTCTTAGGATCTCCCAGAAGAAAATCACTTCATAGAAAATATTTTGAAATAAAATTTCAAACAAAAACCTACAGGAGCCGCAGCGCCCGGCGGTGGAGAGTACAGGTGGATTATAAGAATATTGTATGGGGATAAATATCTGCTTGTCTAGTGAGAGACACTAAAAAAAGAAGTTTATCTGTTGCTGGGGAGTCTAAAGAAACCTCTAAAACAACTCTTTAACTATTAAAAAATAATAAACTCTACGATCATTCAACTTCCAGCGGCCCGGCTATGCAGCTTACGGGGTATCCACGGGCCCTAGCTAGCTAAACTCTATGCTCGTCGTCTCACACCTTAAGTAAGAGCTAGTTGCATCCCGCTTTCCTCTGCTTTCTCTTTTTTTTGCAGAAGGTTTCGGGTGAGAGGGTGCTGCGGTTTCTCGTGTAGAGGCCTCTTGGGGGCCTACAGGCATCGAGTTGCCGCTGAATGCTGGTTCCCTAGGGGTTTAGAAAGGTTAAATATGGCTCAGAAAAAAGCCGAGACACTTTTATGTGTAAAAACACAAAAATATATCGAGATGGAAGATGTAAGGATGAAGACCAGTGGTGTGCAGCGTACGTGACGACTCGCCAGTGACGGTCTATAGCGGCGCGAGGCCGCTGCTGCTGTTTTTTATCTGCTGATATTTTTTTTGAGAAAGAGATGCGAATTAGGTTTTAAATTCCTCATTAAACAATAAAAAAACATTTTGCAGTTTATATTATCTTTGTTTCATGCCTCTAGGTATCCGACTACCAACCCAAGACACAGTCTGTCGGTAGCTGTGTTGTCACGCTGCGGCTGTCGGCTCAGCACTACAACGGGGGCAGAGCTCGAGGCTTATATACTTCTTTATCAGTGCAATTCTTCTTGAAAGTATATAAAATTACTTCGCATATTTATTTTCTTCTTTGTTTATCGCAACAGCCAGCACAACGCCGAGATCACTCTCTGAAACTCTCTCAACAAGCGAGGCCCCCGTTATACAGCACTAGCTCCCGCCGCGGTCATCGTCGAGGCTTTGTATACACTGAGGCCCCCTTTGACTGTATATTCAGCAGCCTTTGCATGCACTTATTCTTATATCTTCAAGAAGAGGATATTGGCTGCAGGTGGCGGGAAAATAGCGGAGCCGACGCAGCTGCTTGCGGCCCAAAGTCGGTGCAGTTGCAGTGCAACGAAAACAGCAGCAACAACAGCAGCAACAGCAGCAGCAGCAGCAGCAACAGCAGCAGCAGCTAACACCTTCTTATTCTACTGTGGATACTTAGGCGTGCTTCGCTGCCTCATGATATCGAAGCACTCAGCATGACGACACACCTTCACGGCAGCTCCACCAGGGGCCCAGGGACGATCGCCCGCTGCATCGCAACCCTGAGCAGCTTCGGGCCTAGCAGCAGCAGCAGCAGCAGCAGCAGCAGCAGCAGCAGCAGGAGCAGCAGCAGGGCCGAGCCCGATGCCATTGAACTGCACGAGTGGAAATCTACATCCGCCCCGACGAGGCAATCCCCCAGCAGAACTACAACAGAAGATGAACAGGAGCAGCCGGCGAGCAACCCCACCAAAACACCACCTTCTCTGGGTCAACGCGGTACTCATCTCTTGCGGTGGATACGGGGTACCAACGCCGGCGGGTGGTGGGGGCCCCTATTGCTGCTGCTGCTGCTGCTGCTAGTTGATTCTCTCTCCCCCTCAGCAGCAGAATCTACAGTATCTGAGACCCTGCAACAAACCCTGAGGGGTGTATGGTTCGAAACAGAGGGGCCCCCTCAAGGAGAGGGCTATAAACTACCGGCGGGGCCCCCCGAAGTCAAGCAAGAGGGGGCCCCCGAAGCGGAGGAGGGGGCCCCCCAGGACCCCCAGGGCCCCCAGGGCCCCCAGGGTCCCCAAGAGGAGCAAGAGGGTTCGTTTGGCTGGGGTGGGGCCCCCTTTCGTCGTCTGAGTAGTTTGTCTGGGTGGGCCGCGGATGTCGAGGCCTCGCTGCGGCTGAGTCCGCGGCTGAGTCTATACTTAGGGGTATTCTTAACCCTCTCTGGCTCTCTGCTGATGGCGGGGGGAGGGACCCTCATGAAGCTCGGCCTGAGCGTTGACGATGCAGACGCCATGCAGGGACAGTCCTGTGACCAGCAGTGGCTCTGGGGCTTCGCAGGTAACACCACCACTCGAGGGTTTAGGGTTTAGGGTTTAGGGTTTAGGGTTTTGGGTTTGTAGCGGGGTGGAAGACCTGCGAATAAACACTTTGCTTCTCGGGGTAGCGGCGATAAGAAGACTGCAGCAGCTGCAGCAGCAGNAGACCTGCGAATAAACACTTTGCTTCTCGGGGTAGCGGCGATAAGAAGACTGCAGCAGCTGCAGCAGCAGCAGATACGATTGAAGACGATAGCAATTCTTTTTCTGTGGTTTCTTGTGCATGCAGCTTACGTCGTTGGGGCTTGCATGCACGTGGTGGCTCTTGGCTTTGCTCCCGCTAGTGTTCTCTCTCCTATGAACTCCATTGGCCTCATAGCCAACGCTATCGCGTCAGCGGTGGGTCTTTCGCCAGCTAGCTAGCTAGCTAGCTAGCTAGCTAGCTAGCTAGCTATATCTTCAGCTAGCTAGCCACTACTAGAGATACCTAGCCACTTGAATACCTAGCTAGCTAGCTAGCTATACCTTTGGCTAGCTAGCCACTACTAGAGATACCTAGCTACTTGAGTAGCTAGCTAGCTAGCTAGCTAGCTAACCACTTGGATAGCTCGTTAGTCAGGTGCTGGTGCTAGTCTATGTATTGTTGTTGTCTCGTTTGCATTAGAGTTTACTCTCTGCTTCAGCATAAGCGATATATCTGATTCCCCTGCTATGTTTGTGTTTAAATAAATATATATATATATATATATATATATATATATATATATATATATATATATATATATATATATA